GGAGGGAAGGAAAGTCACAGATACAAGGTGTTTCCTAACATTCAGGGTTAGACAGGATCTGTTTCTGAAAAATAAACCCAGTTTAACTTTCAGTTTCTTTACTAGGTTTTCTACGTGGAGCTTAAAGGAGAAATGAGAGTTGACCAAGATACCCAAATATTTATAGGAATCAACAAACTCAATGGGGACACGATTTGAGGATAAAATCAGAGGAAGAACTGCTGGGACCAACTTCCTGTATGAAAAAACATCTCTTTGGTTTTATTGGCATTTAAGACAAGTTTGAGGTGGAACAAATCAGACTGGATGATGTTGAATGCGGATTGCAAAAGCTGGAAAGCCTTATCAACTGTTTTAGCTCGACAATAAACAACTGTGTCATCAAGATAGAAATGTATTGATGCATCAGGGATGCTCTGACCTACATTACCTATGTAGATTATAAAGAGGGTGGGTCCTAAGACTGAGCCTTGTGGTACACCATTGTTGACTGTTAAATAACTGGAGGAAGTACCATTATGTTGAATACATTGCCTCCGGTCTGAGCGATATTTAGAGAACCAACCAATGGTGTGTTCTGAGAAACCAATTTCTGAGAGTTTATGACTCAAGATGTTCTGATCCACAGTATCAAAAACTTTAGACAGGTCTAAGAAAAGTGCAGCACAATAATCCTTAGCATCCAGTGCTTCAACAATGTCATTAAGAACCTTCAGTGAAGCAGTGGTTGTGCTGTGTTTTTTCCTGAAACCAGATTGATGTGGAGGTAAGATGTTAAATGATTCCAGATATTTTTTGATTTGACAGTTTATCAGTTTTTCTAGAACCTTGGCTAAAATGCAGAGTTTAGAGATTGGTCGATAGTTGTTCAATCTTAACATGTGATTCTTGACCTGCCATTGTGTATCTATTTCTACCAAACCCAGCTGGTCAAAGCAGATGGCGCTTGTCCTGAGCCTGGTTCTGCTAAAGGTTTTTTCCTCATGAGGGAGTTTTTCCTTTCCACTGTCGCCTTCATGCTTGCTCAAGATGAAAGTTCTGTGATGGAGTTAAACTCATCTGCTCCTCAGATAAATAATGTTAAATTATTATTTTTATACATGAACGTTTCTGTTCTGTGCCCTGAGACGACTTCTGTTGTGACTTGGTGCTTTATAAATAAACTGAATTGAATTGACCTTGTAAGTTTTAACAGCTCTGAAATGTTCTTTAGTAATCATGAAAGATCTTTGTACTCTCAAGAAAACAGAATTCAGGGATCCTCTGTCATCCAGCTTCTCCTTCATTTTAAACACCAATCTTTGGCGTTACCCAACTTCTGCAATTCTACAATTTAAGACAACGGACAAAGTCTCCAAGGAGTTCATCTTCATTCACATTATTTTATTGTAATAGGTC